GCGAATTGCTCATTTCCTATAAATACGGTCAAGTGCGTAGTTGCGCGACTCAAATGATAATATTCATGCATTTTGAAAGTTTTCAACAGAATCTTACTGTTAATTTCCAAATTTGTTCAAATTATGTTCGTGTTCTTACATACGAATGAAACCATTCTTCTGTAATATTTGAGCAGCGCAAACTCTCTTAAAAGCATGTCAAATGTAACTTCTTAAGTAAAATTATCAATTTTCTTCTGATTGTTCGTGTTGTTGGTGATTTCTTGCGAGGTTGCATTAAACGAGTGGTAAATTTTTGAGCATTTTTGTATGCTATTTTTCGTTCAGTCATATGTTTAATGAATTCAGCCAGTGGAACTTGATGGGAGAAACGAAAACTGAGTTTGATCGAATCGAAAAAAAAGAATGAGTTTGATCTGATTGAAAAAACTTTTCATTAGAGGCTCTATGGTTTTATTTATCATTTTTATTTGTTTCATCAGTTTCAACAACTTTCACTTCACGTTCCACTAAATCACATGATTGGTAGATCTTGAATGCGTATTGTTTAAGGCATTTTTCGTTTGAATTTTAGTTCCGCGTCGTTTTCAATCGGAAATTAATGAGCAGTTACTTCGTTCGTTATTATTCGAATGGACTTTCATGTGTTATTTTTTTTTTACATTCGGTTGAAATATTTTGATTTTGTTTTTGTAGGGATTCTTCTTGTTCTCTGAAAATGAGACTAATGAATGAGGAGGCCAGCTACAGTAACGCTGATAGAGATTCAGTGTAACTCAGTTCACTTGTTTGCTGACATTTTTAATCGCTGATCCAGAGAAACGATAGGATGCCGTGCTGTCATAGAGGTGCCAGTCCGGTAAGAATCCACTTAATCCACTTATCCACTGAAGCATCTGAAATGGAAACAAAGATGGGTATCGGCGAAATTCCTTTGCGCGCAAAGCAATTCATGATCAGCATATCATCCGTTACAGTTTATGATCACCCTTTATGATCATGAATCATTATGAGAAATTCTAAATCAAAACACCCAATTAACGCCTTCTTCGACTTCAAATTCTCACAAACGAATTTTTAAATGAAACAATTTTGCTTCTTGTTTGTTTGCAGTTCAAGCAGTTGAATTCTTCCCAGTGGAAAAGGAAAATTTCTCCTGATTTCCACCGAACACCTCTAAGGACTGTTATCTCTCGAGAGCTGCCAATGTTATCGTTACCAAATGACGATCGATTTCTTGCAGACGTCTCCGTCATCGAACAATTCTGCTGTACATAGCGGTGCTCCGTTGGCAAGCCACGAAAATCACAACGGTGTCCCGTTCGCGACCAAACGTGATCACTGTACAACTTTTATACCTCTCGGATCGAAACGCTCCACTGCAGAAGGACCGCTGACAATTTTGGCCGCCGGTAGTGTGCTGCCGTTCAGTACGGCAGCCACCGGAATCATGTTACGGCTACCTCGTTATATGCCGTTGAACGATCTGCATATGGAATCAAGCAAATCTTTCATATTACAGGTATACGTGAACGATGCATTGTTCTGGGATGATCTCCTCGATAGAGACTATTGACTGATGTAGCTTAGAGAGCATTTACATTCTTGTCTCTTGGAGACGCGTGTTTTTTGGTTCGCCTTTGAGCATTTTGCTGAAATGACGCTAATCTCAGATTGAGAAACATGAACGTTCAGTAGTCATGCTAACGCTGTGCGCATTTGTTCAAATTCGTGGAAGAGACGGACTCCAGGTGCGTACATTCTGTCCGGAATACTGATGATGAGTATGATGTACTCGAGTGGATCAATGATGAGTTGATAGCGGATTGTGTTTCAGTCAATGTTTCCGTTTATTGCGGCTGGAGCTGGGATGGTTGGTACGGGGCTGTTGTTGGATCATGCTGCTTCTTGGGAATTATTCACGAGTACTCCAGAAACGTTCATCTTAGTACCGGCCTTACTTGGTCTTAAGGGCAATCTTGAGATGACGTTGGCATCACGACTTAGCACTATGGTATCGATGCTGATCACTTAGCAACAAATTTTTGATCACGCTCGTGAATTTTTTGTTTCCGCTTTAACTATGTCACTCGATTAGGGAGTAATTTTTCTCTATTTCATTGTATAGTCAAAATGAAATATTTATTTCCTGAATATCACATGAACACGAGCGATAAGTAAAAATGTGAATGATAAAAGAAAGTTTCTATCGATTAACGGCATTTTTTGCAGTCAAATATGGGTTTAATGGGTTCAGCCACTGAGCAGCTCAAAGTGGCCTGTGTAAATTTGGCCTTAACTCAAGCTCAAGCTATTGTGGTTTCATTCATCGCCGCACTTTTCACTATCATCGTTTCAATCGCACAAAACGGGCAAGTGAGTGCGTCTCTTTGAGTTAGAATAAATATTCACATTAAAGTCCGTTTTTCCTTTCATTTGATGGTCTTGTATGACCAAAAATTTCCATTTTTGGAGATTCTGGTGAAATATTAAATTTGACTGCAATATTTCATGAATCCTACAAAAAATATCGATCTTCACACTAAATGATCTAAATACAGTCAATTAAAATAGACCGAAATTAAGACAGATTATGGGATCGCATCGATGTTAATAGCGTCAAGCATGGTGACGGCTACGTTGGCATCATTCATAATCGGTCTAGTAATGATCATCGTTGTGACCATATCGATGAAACTGAGCATAAATCCGGATAATATCGCCACTCCAATTGCTGCTTGTCTTGGAGATTTGACCACACTCGCGTTACTTGTTCGTTTCATTCTGATTATATTCAGTTCTATTTGTTCACTTGTTCACTTATCTAATGCTTCAAACAAATTCTAAAATCAGCCCATAATATTGAGAAGCTATTGGTCGTCAGTCGATTATCCGTTAAAACTTTTTAGTGTTCTGGACTCAAGCATCGGCTAAGCCTTAAACTAACTCTTTGGTCTAGTCGTACCATTGTCCTGAACTTTATGCAACAATTAAAGTCAAGGATTGGACTTTAACTGATTCTTTGAGTGATATTCGAGCTCGCTCGAACTGAAACCTCCACACTCGTGAGAGTTACAAACATAGATACTGTTGCTAAACTGATCCACTGTCACTTTTGATCGCTTACGATCGCTTCAGATTCTCATTGGAACCTTATTTCATTCGATGAGAAATACGCCGAACGAATGGATTCTAACTACGGTTTATGTGTCGCTGTTGATAGTGGCGCCATTCTGGGCATATCTCTCGGCGAAAGATGCATCCACATTGGTCGTGCTCAAGTACGGCTGGTGGCCAGTGATTTGTGCGATGATCATTAGTAGGTCAGCTTTGGAAATTGCGATTGCTTCTCTTATACCTCGTGCATTAATTGTTGCCTAAGTTCTTTGAGCATGTTCAAGATAGCAGCAGGATGAGAGGAAATTTTTCTCCAAAATAATATTCATCTTGAATTTCAGTGGTGGAGGTTTCATTCTGAAAGTTGCGATGGTTTCCTATCCAAATATCGCC